GATCTAGGATCCAAAACTCACTACACAAGTTCCGAAGAAGTGCAAGATAGCCTAGAACCTCAGACCTCTGTTTGCGAGCACTCTACTCACTACACGACTACTTACATGATCTTGCGAAGCATCCCCTCAATCGTGTGAGCTGCCGACCATCTTTCCTGCCCAACTTAAGCATTGAACACTGCCAGGACTGCTGGGTCCGATACCTGGTGCCATCCACCCTAAACCCTACACCCTAAACCACCCACTAAACCCTAAACCACTGAGACTTAAACCCCTAAACCCTAAAACCCTAAACCCCTGAGACCTAAACCCCTAAACCCTAAAACCCTAAACCCCTGAGACCTAAACCCCTAAACCCTAAAACCCTAAACCACTAAGCCCCTGAGACCTAAACCCTAAACCACTAAACCTCTGAGACCTAAACCCCTAAAACCCTAAACTACTAAACCCCTGAGACCTAAACCACTAAACCCCTAAACCACTAAACCCCTGAGACCTAAACCCCTAAACCCTAAACTACTAAACCCCTGATACCTAAACCCCTCAACCCTAAAACCTAAACCCTGAACCCTAAAACATGGCATGAGCCACCGGAATCCTCACGAGCTTTGATCCCGGACCCGGATCTAAAGTAGAAGCCAAATGTGAACCCCAGAAACTTGGAACGTGGGTTGAAGATGATTAGTGCTGGGATCCCCTATACTCTACCTTAAGGGCATGAGGCATGAGCATATTGACGTTCTGCCTATAGTCTCCATTGTGAAACTACAATGGAGACTATAGGCAGAACGTCAACATGCTCACGCCTCATGCCCTTAAGGTAGAGTATAGGGGATCCCAGCACTAATCATCTTAAGCCCACGTTCCAAGTTTCTGGGGTTCACAACACATTGAATAGGGTTTAGATTGAATCGCAGAGTACGGGTGGACGGCTCCCCCAAACCGACAAGCCCTATATCCAAGTCCTAATCTTGCCCAAACTCTAAACCTTCATCGAAATGTCGGAGCTGCAGAAACTCCTGCAAGCCAGCCGATTCTGGGATATCTCCATGTCCCTAAGGGTCCATGTGCTCATATAGTATATACTTGGGCCTTCAAGGTAGTCCCCTTTCGGGTACTTTGAGCCGCAGTATATGCTGTTTGGGTACACGGACCCTCAGGGTGTGTGATTGGAAGCCAGGAAAGCACCTCAATGCAGTTGATGATGTGGAACTATGATATATCCCCGATTTCCTAAATCCCTCTTCTTCCTGGCTTCATATGAGCGCATCGTCCTGCGACTGACCGTACATCCAAATCGCCCGCGTGGCAATACGCGGTTTAGCATCGCAACGGATTGCTAGCGCCCACAGAGATCGACACTCCTTGATTCAGGCTGTGCATACAGGGGCCTACGTAATTACCGATACTTTTTGGGGTTCCTTCTTGTTGTGAATATAGTATAATATATCCCGAAGCCCAACTCTAATTATTACCAAAGCTCACATATTGCTTGAAAGTAAAACAAACCCTAAACCCTAATGTAGAAGCCTGAAGAAGTACCAATCCTATTCCTTGGGGCTCCTCATGATAAATATACCAAAAACGGTGCCCAAACCTATTCTAATTATCTATTAAGGCCCCTATACCATAGAACCGTACCATAGGTCCCTTCTAGACCTCTTCAAGGAACCCCCCTAAACCCTAAACCCTAAACCCTAAACCCTAAAACCCTAAACCCTAAACCCTAAACCCTAAAACCCTAAAACCCTAAACCCTAAACCCTAAAACCCTAAACCCTAAAACCCTAAACCCTAAACCCTAAACCCTAAAACCCTAAACCCTAAACCCTAAACCCCCAACTAGTCAAGGCCCCCATATTGGAAACTCTGTGGATAGGACTCAGGACAGCGCATTTCAATTCCGGAGGAAGACCTCCCTGGCAGGGAAGGGTTTAGGGTTTAGGGTTTAGGGGTTTAGGGGTTTAGGGTTTTAGGGTTTAGGGCATGGAAACCATGGGCAAAGTGAGGATTTCGGGTTTCAGGGTTTCAGGATTCAGGGCTTAGGGTTTAGGATCTCGGGTTTCAGGGTTGAGGGCTTAGGAATTCGGGTTTCAGGATTTTCCAAGCCGTTGGTTACAGTTGAGGTGCTCTCTTCTTCAAGAATCGGGCCCCAAACAGCTCAAATTTCCATAGAGAGACTAGATGTGTAAGGACAAAAATTTCAAGTTCTCCCGTTGGCTATCTAAAGGAGGCTTGAGGCATAATATAGATACTATACTCATAATAACATAAGGAGCCAAAACAGTGTGTATATATATATATAGGTAATTATTGAGGCCCTTGCATTATGCCCTAAACCCTAAACCCTATATAGACCCTAAACCCTGAACCCCAAAGCCGAGAGACGAAGTCAAGCCTTGCGCGCTTGTGAATGATTTATCTGGGAGTTAGGATTAGGGGACTCTTGGGATAAAGACCGTCTCAATCATAGGGACACAAGGCCTCGTCTTTTAGGGACCCTTAAAGGCGGGGTAGGGTTTAGGGTTTAGGGGGGTAGGGGCAGGGGGGGCAGGGGGCCTTAATGCCCGTAAAAACGACCTGATCAGGCCTATTTAAGGAAGTATAGTGCCCCACCCACCTCCCCCTTAGCCCCCTAAGCGTCCCTATGATTTACTTTGCTATTGTCCAGGGTTCAGGGCCGTTGAGGGAGAGTTTCGTTCTCAAGGAGCATACGGCGGAATCCCGATACTGCTCCCTCCTAAACCCCTAAACCAATTCCCTAAACCCCTTAACCCCCTTGCCTCGCAATCTTCTCCATCTTAGGTGCCGGGCACCCCAGGGTAGTTGTCCAGGGAGCCACAAGTGCTCTGCACACTAGCCTCAGGGTTCAGGGTTTAGGGCCGTTTAGGGTTTAGGGCCTCAGCAGCAGTCTGCCATGGAGTAAGGCGCTTGCGGACTCGATGGAACCACAGTGCAAGTAAAGGGATCTACCTTTCTAGTGCGTCTGGAATCCTGAACCCCGCACCCCTCAAGCCCCTGATGGTACTACCAGCTTGGTTTCGCCCGCTGGTTGTGCGGTCGTTTTTTCGCCTAAGCGCCTCGCTTTAGGACTCAGGGCTGGGCATCGTACTGGTTTAATTCAGGATTATCATACGGGTCCTACAAAGGCCTTCTGTAGTTAGGTTTAGTACGGTTCCAGAGTGTCAGCTCTTAGGGTGGATTGGGGTTTGAGGGATAAGGGTTCCAGGGTTTGGAGATTAGGGCTTGCAGGGTTTACGGTGTAGAGGATTAGGAACGTAGGTTTTAGGGCTTGAACCTTACGGATGCAGGTGTTAAGGTGTAGGATCCGTGTCCTTGGAGGGGTCCCACCTGATTCTGGCGACTATTGGGAAGTTAGGGCTCAGGGTTCAAGGAAGGTTGCGTTTGCCAAGTCCCGCTTGATGCATGTTTCAACTCAAGCTCCTGATCAAAAGACTGCGGGTTTAGGGCTTAGGGTGCAGAGGTTAAATGGAGTTCCAAGTACATCCAAGCAAAGCCCAAAAGGAAGGCTCGACCCAGTCAAGAGCTACTGGTGCAGCTGCCTAGCTAGCAACTTAAGAATGCCGCATTCTGAATACCAGGAGATCAAAAATCTTATTACCCCAATAAGCCACCGAAATGAAAGGTTAAACTTTCCGATTCCTACTAAACTATAAGCACGCAAAAAGTTTAAAGGTAAAGTATGGGGGATCTAAGAAATAGCCAACTGTTCAGATCTGAAGACTCGAATTTTGGGGCCATCACGGCTACAATACCACGCCAAAGAGAAGAAGGTTGTCAACTGGACACTTGCTGGTTCAGACCTGGTTCCTACGACGGGTTTAACGTTAAGGATTTAGGGATTCCATGAAAGGATAGAATCCCGGAATTCGATAGTCGTAGCATCTCAACCCCAAGACTCTGAATCATAAGCGAAGCAGCAATAGATGTTCCGATATAGGTGGTGGCCGACACCAAATCGATAATCGCGGCTGCGCAAAGGCCTTGTCTCTGGAGGGTGGAGCCCTAAACCCTAAACCCTGGGCGACTGGAGTTGCGAATTTAAGGCTTCCGATTCCTAACCCCTAACCCCTAAACCCTAAACCCCTAAACCCTAAACCCCTAAACCCTAAACCCTAAACCCCTAAACACCTAAACCCTGAACCCCTGAACCCTCGACCCTAAAGGCCCCTGGGCGCTCGAACCCTGAAGTTTAGGGCTTAGGAGTTTATGGTTTAGGGGTTATTGTTTCTATTGTTTAGTGTTCAGGTTTGAGCCCCAGAAGGGCGACAAACGGATCCAGTCTTCAACGGTTTCGGTTTAGCTTCAGGGTTGAGGATTTAGGGTTTTGCGGTTTCCTGCATGATTTAGCTGTTGGGCTTGCGGCTGGCTGGTATCATAGGTTGATTTTAAGACTGAGCTGCCGGTCGGGAGCAATGGTCGATGGGGCTTGGGTAGGTTTTCTCTTGATTTGTCCATCTTGCTGAGATTTGGTCTGGGGTTCTGAACTGAACTTGCCAAACTTTACGGGCTTGGCGTCTAGGGACAGGTCTGACGTAATGTCATTCAGCTGCAAAGAGATGATATGAGCCTTAATAACTAATTAGAATAAGGCTTTGGGCTACATTGTACTATCATTGTAATAAGGAAACCCCACAATAGTACAGGTAATTGTTGACAGTTGAGGCCCCGATAGTACCGATATCCACCGTTCTTCACATTGCGCCGGGAAACTCTGAATCTCCGAAGCCCGATCAGTGTCAAGCTAGCTCTTTGCCTTGACGTGTGGGGCCCCAATGCCTGAACCCGAAAACTCCAACTCAAACCCCTGATGTAGGGCCCTCAATAAACTTCGTATGGGGGTTTGGGGGTATGTTAAACTATAACCATAATAAGGAACCCCCAAAATAGTGTAGGTATTCTTATAAGGACCCTATTTTTTAACACCTAAAAACCCCCAAGCCTCAAAGCCTCAAAGCCGCTATACCTTCGGCAGGTGGCGCTCGCCCATGGCCCTGGTAAAGTCGACTGCCCCAGGGCAGTTGATGACGCTAAGGGTGATCATGCTCGCGGCGATGCCTCTCAAGGTTTAGGGTCTAGGGTTTAGGGTCTAGGGTTTAGGGGTTTAAGCTTTAGGGTCTAGGGTTTAGGGTCTAGGGTAGGGTTTAGGGTTTAGGGAGGCTTGGGGGTTCGGGGGTTTTCAGGGGGTTTTGGGCTTTAGAATCCAGCACCTCGGGTGTGAATGGCTCTTGCAAGGGATTACTGCCAGGTTGCTTTAAGGGCTACTCTAAGGGTTCGAGAGCTCGATTCGGGCTCTGAGGGTTTAAACGGTTTTTTTACAAAGGGCTACTTTCAGGGTTGCTTTGAGGGCTACCCCATGGGCTTCACTGGTCTTAAAGGGCTTGAGGGTTCGACGCACTCCTCCGACATTCGTAGCAGCGTTCAGAGTTTAGGCAAGTTTTGGCCTGAGGCAGGAAAGAGACAGAGAGGCCGGGACCCAGTTAAGGGTTTAGGGTTTAAGGGTTTAGGGGTTAAGGGTTTAGGGCCTAGGGTTTAGGGTTAAGGGTTTAGTAGGGCCTGTGACGAAGTATTGAAAAATACATGCATAAAAAAACAACCCCCCCGTGGCCCCCCAAGCCCTATGACCACAGCCTCAAACGCAACGACCAAGCGCAACAGCACCCCTCAACTCCAAACCTTGCCCCAAACCCAAAAACCCTAAACCCCTAAACTCTAAACCCTGAACCTTTCACCATAGCCCCTCATATATTAAGTAGCCCTATAGTATCCCTTATAGTAGCCCTTGTATAGATCCCTTGAAAAAGGAACCCTACAGTAGATCCTTACCATAGCTTTGGGAGTGCCTGCCGAAGCGATGGCACCCGTGACATCGATAGCGCACTTCGTCTTTCCTGCGTTAGGTTTTAGGGTTTTGGTTTAGGGAATTTAGGGTTTCAAGTCTTTCGAGTTGGAGTTTTAGGGTTAGAGTTGGGGTCTGGGGTTTAGGGCTTAGGAAGCTTAGGGTTTCGGGAAAGCGTTTATGCGTTTAGGCCTTCAGGCTCGCACAGGGTATAGGGCAGCATAGATCCCCGGGGAACTTCCTGAAGCCCAGAATCTTACCGGCGAAACCAAGAACCGAATTTGTCCATCCCGCGAACCCCTACTCAGGCTCTCCCAAACCCAAAACTCCATAAGCCGTACTGGAGAGGGCCTTAATAATTTGAATGGGGTTCCTTTTGAAGGGTTCTTACAAATAAGGGTCTATAAGGTTACCATAAGGGCTACTAGAAGCCTTGATAATTAGACTAGGGTTTTGGGGCCCTTTATACTCTTACTCCCCCAAAAAGCCACAGAAGTGAACGGTTAAACTTTCCCATTCCTACTAAACTATGAGAACCTCAAACAGTTTAAAGGTTGGGTTTCGGAGCCCTTTATACTATAGTTACATACAGAAACCTTGGGCGTTTATTAGGGTTCCTTATCTGATACCTTCTGTTTTGGGGTTATAGGCCCAGGGTTTCTCGATCAGGTTCCTACATTACTATAGTTGCATAAGCCCTAAACCCTGGGACTTCTGGTCTTAGCTCTGTGGCTTTGGTTGTGTCTTGGGTGGGCTTTTGGGTCTGGAACAACGGGCCTTCGTCCAAATTTCAGGGCGCGTCGTGCTTTAGGCTTAAGGCATCTTACTACCCCAGTGGACCACGGAAATAACAGGTTAAACTTTCCGACTCCTACTAAACTATAAGAACCCAACAAGTTTAAGGGCTGGGTATTGGGGATCTACGTAGTAGAACTTGAAGTGTTTGATGGAGCCCGGGGCAGAAAAACACAAGACCCTCAACTGGGAACTCTGGAGCCTTCACGCCTGGATACCGGCCAATCCTAAATCCGAAAGTCTAAACCTCTCTAAACCCCCAACCCTCAACCTTTAACCTCCCTACACCCTCCTTGATGGCCATTGACTTCGAAGTTGTAGGCGCCACAGTCCTGTCATAGGGACAGAACACTCGAAACTTAAGAGATTTGAGGTGCAGGGGTCTCAGATAAACACGCCCAAAGGTTTCACCCCATCCGCTAATCTCTACAAATACACCCAGCGGGGCAAAGCTTCCAAATACCGGCCGTAGTGTGGGTCAGAATGTCATCTGTAATTAACTAGAACCCGACGTCCTTCCTTAACAAGGTCGTTAACCCCTCATCAACCCTAAGCTAAATTAAGAACCCGCTGCTAAATCTCTGAAACTTAAACGCCTAAGCAATAAATCCACCGTAATCGTTGCGCAAGGGACCCGCGTGGATGTCATGGGCATAGTAACATGTTTCTTTATCAAGGCTGTGCTTTTGAAGTCTATTTCCCAAACTAAAGCCTACACCGTGAACGCTCCTTGGTGGACATGGCAATCAGCGTGCCCAGCTGCGCCAGACGTGCGACTGCTTTGCCTTCGGAGCAACACAACCCAAACCCCCAACCCTAAACTCTAAATCGGCAACCCTTAACTCTGAACCAGACTCTAAACCCTGGACGGTCCATCTCACACGTCGGGGTTGGGCTTCCAGAAAGGACAACATGAGTCGTGCTTTTTCCGAACTAACATCCGTTAACTTTAGTCAGCCAGGTTCAGCTTGCAGGAGTCATTAGCATGTTACAAGGCGCATAACAGCTTTGACTGCGAACTTAAACCCTAAACCTACACCAAACCCTAAACCCTAAACTCTAAACCTACACCAAACCTCCAGAACCGCTAGTCACTTTGGAAGGGACCCCGAAGCTCCGTGCCTTACACCGTAGAAACGAGGCCCTCCACCTACACGGCTAAATCCTACCCTGAATAATTAGGAACACCCATCAACCAAAAGTCTGAACCCGAAACCCTATACACCGAAAACAGTCTAAGTTGTATACCGTGCAGCGAGGGCACTCAAATCAAATCCGCACTGCACATGCTTCCACGTCTTCTCAGTTTCCTCAGCGACTTAGGTGTCTGTAAGGTTCGAATGAGGATTCGATACGGATTTCATGAGGGTTCCACAAAAGATTTATGATACACTGAGAGAGATTTCGGGCCTCTAAACCCGCTGAACCAATGTGGTTGCTGTAAGGCTGGGTACTGTGGGGGCCTTTAGAATCAAAAAAAGAGTTTTGGGCTCCTGTATAGTAGAACTATACTATACTGAACTTAGAACCCTAGCAAAAAATATAGTTGTAGCTGTTTCTTAAGGATTATAATAACCAAAAGTTGAAAATTATTTCTAAGTACCCCTAAGCATAGTAGAACTATATTGACGAACCATAAGGAATGATATTGGTGTTTATTGAGGCTTCTACCTGTTGGGTTGTACATTGGGGTCAGTCACTGATTGGGGTTGAGGGCTCGCTGTGAGTCTGCATCAGTCAACTGCTGTCTTTCTCAAGCATTTCTTGGAGGATCGGGGGACTTAGTAACTGGTTATTTAGGGACTTATAAGTACCATAACCCCAATTAGGGTCCCTTTTAGGGCACTTATACGTCTACCTACTACCTACTAAGTCCCCCGACCCTCCAAGTTCAGAGGTATGCAGAAGGCTTCTGGCAAGTAGAATATGCTAGACTTCGGTGATGCGGCTATGCTGTATTCTGCTTTTCGGCTTGGACCCAACTTGATTTTCGTGGGAAGGGCCCGTGAACCTCAAAACCACAAACCAGATCAGGGCTTCGAGGGCAGTTCCTGGCTTCCGGTTTAGGGTTTAGAGGGGGGTTAGGGTTAAAAGTTTCGAGTTGATGGCTTCTTGCTCGGGCTACCCAGATACCCTTAGTTTAAGAGGAACATGTTTGAACGTTGAGGGAGCTGTGTTGGAGTGTGGCAGTGGAGTATTAAACCAACAAGGCTACAACCAACCCTTCTCCTTCCCGCTTCTCTCAAACTGGGCTTTGAAGCAACCAGGGAGAAAAAAGCATAGGCTGTCATTTTATAACGGTTCCCTTTAGGCAGCAGGTCCCAGAACAAGTATTAAAGCATGGTACTCCAAAGCCCAGTAAAAGCCACTAGAACTCTAAACCCGATATTTACCGCAAATGCCGACAGCCACCGTGGATCTCCTGAATCCTCGAAGAATGCAATGCTATGGTTGATGATGTAAATCCTGCCAGTACCCATAATCACCATAAGGATTATACGATAATTCCCATGGTTTAGGGTCCTCAAGGTAATGCAGGACTTGTATCATCAACAGTAATTATGAGGCCGAGAGGCTTTCTTCTTGTGGGCAATGATCTCATCCGAGGTCAGGCCCATCCTACCCCCCCGGGGGGATGCACATGGTTTGGGATTTTAGGACTTGATGTGCACGTTGGCCGCGCTTCTTACCCCGAAGTGATGCCATAGCAGGAACCCTGGCCGTGCACCAAACCGGGCATTACAGGATGAGATGCTCGCGAGTGTGGGGGTTGGGGTGTGGCCTTTGGGCTTGCCGCGCGATGGGGTATCAAGGAATGATGCTAATGCGTACCTCCGGTACACCCTCGTATTTCAGAACGCATGCCAGGGCCAAAACAAAGAGTACCAATATAACGGTGATCTCAGGACTTCTGGTGGTCATAGAAGTCATGGCAACCTCGGTAGTAGGTGCTACAACAGTAGTAACGAGGATTAGAAGCAACATGAGAGGAGTAAGAGCAGGATGGTAAACGCTTCAGCAACATTTGTGCTACCAGTCGTGCTTTGAACCTCGTAGAAAACGATTGGGCACTCATTTCGACACAATGCCCAAAGCATAATCTAGGGGCCTTTATGATGAGAATAGGGTTTTGGGGCCCGTTTGCTAGAACCATAAAGTAGTGTAGGTAATCATTGAGGCCCCACTATAGTCACCCCTAAACCCTAAACCCTAGACCCTAATTCCTGAACCCTTTACTAAGGCACCCTTTACTAAGGCCCCTATAGTCGTGACTGTGACCCCACAACGAAATCCTCTAACCCCATAGGGGTTTAGGGTTTAGGGTTTTAGGGTTTATCAGTGAGGCAGCAGCAAGCAACACAATTGCATGCGGAATCCTCTGGGCACCTTAACCCAGCTCCGGCAAACACTACCCCGAATCCTCCCGAAGACGCGGCAAAAATGAGCAGTGACTTCCGAAACTTGCAGGGTGACCGAAACCTCAACCCTGAAACCCTAAACCCTAAACTCTAAGCCCTAAACCCAAACCCTCTTTTGAACCTAGACCCTAAAACCCGAAACCCCGCAAACCCAAAAGCCGCCTAAACAAGTCGAACGGCCGAAACAAACGGCCGTCAGGCTGAACCCTTGTACAAGGGTTTAGGGTTTAGGGTTTAGGGGTACTCTGAGGGTTCAAGGGTACTGTAAGGGTTCCTTTAACGGTACTATAAGGGTTCCTTCACGGGATCTAAAGGCCTACCTGTCGGGTATCATTGGGAACTAAAGGTTAACCCTTTTGGTTATATAGGGATTAACTATATAGGGACTATACTACCCAAACAAGGCGTAAAGGTTGCCTACTCTACTCTACTATTAGGAAGGGCTACTACAACCCGAGCCCACACCGAAAACTCAGCAGCATACCCCATCCCCCCGACCTGTCTGCTGCATGCTTCACTTTATCGTCGATGAACTCCTTGCAAACGGCAACCCGAAATTACGTCACTCCTAATACCAAGAATTAGGTGGTGGGGTTTAGGGTTTAAGCTTCGGGTGTGCGCAAGGATGATTACAGGCTGAAGTATCGTGGCATGGATGGTGGTGGTGGTGGTGGTGGTGGTGGTGGTGGTGGTGGTGGTGGTGGTGGTGGTGGTGGTGGTGGTGGTGGTGGTGGTGGTGGTGGTGGTGGTGGTGGTGGTGGTGGTGGGTGGTGGTGGGTGGTGGTGGGTGGTGGCAGTAGTAGCGGTAGCAGTCGTTTTAGTAGGAGTGGTTGTAGTAGAGTTGTAGTACTGTACCGGCAGCACGTAGAAGCAGTGACAGCAGCAATAGAAGCTGCAGCAGTAGTGGCGATGACGTTCGTTGGTCATGATGATGGTGCTGATGAAGAATGAATGAGTGAGTGAGTGAATCAGTGAGCGAGTGAATGAATGCATGAATTAATGAATGAATGAATGAATGAATGAATGAGTGAGTGAGTGAGTGAATGAATGAATGAATGAATGACCGAAAGAATGAATGAATGAGTAAATCAATGAATGAATGAATGAACGAATGAGTTCATGCATGGATGAAAGAATGAACGAATGAATGAATGCATGCACGGATGCACGGATGAATGAATGAATGAGCGAATGAGAGCAGTGTCAGTAGCCTTCATATGTCGCACTGTGAAAAGCATGCCATCCTACCCGAAAGCATAGATCTCTTATCTTACAACTTGTAACTCTAAACCTTTAGCCAGCAGCTTTGAATTACGCCTAGCACAACGAGAGCAAGAACAACATAGAAATTGAATAGGTGCAATTTAAAGGGTTCCTTCACAGGATTACAGGGTTTACCATAGGGACCTTGACAAATCTAGCACGTTTCCTTTAAAGGGCTCTGTACTGGCGAGGAGGGTTTGGTGTAGCGGCTTTAAGCAGGTTACTCTCGTGTTGAGGCTTGTACAGTTTAGGAATTTACCAACCAGCAAAAACGATAACGGGACACTCTTCGCAACTATCCAGACACCTGTGTCGCCCTAAACCCAAAACCCTAAACTCCTAAATCCTAAAACCCTTAAAACCTAAAACCCCTAACCCCTAAGCCCCCTAACCCTAAACCCTAAACTCCTAAATCCTAAAACCCTTAAAACCTAAAACCCCTAACCCCTAAGCCCCCTAACCCTAAACCCTAAACTCCTAAATCCTAAAACCCTTAAAACCTAAAACCCCTAACCCCTAAGCCCCCTAACCCTAAACCCTAAACTCCTAAATCCTAAAACCCTTAAAACCTAAAACCCCTAACCCCTAAGCCCCCTAACCCTAAACCCTTAACTCCCAAAACCCCCAAGGCCTAGACTCCTAAGACCAAAACCCTCCGATCCTCACAGCCCTAAACACTACACCACCACCAAAACAACTCCCATCTCCAAACCTATACTGAACCTAGAACCCTAGCAAAAATTAGAATTTTAGCTGTTTCTTAGGGATTACAACAACCGAAAATTAAAAAATAATTCTAAGTACCCCTAAGTAGCCCGGATGGCCGGGCCTTGTCGTCGGGGTCGCTGGCATCGGCGATCTGGCGGCGGCGCTCAAGTTTTAAAGTGGCTTCGGGCATAGGGTTTAAGGGTTTAGGGTTTCGTGGTTTAGGGTTTTAGGGTTTCGGGTTTAGGGGTTTAGGGGTTTGGGGGTTTAGAGTTTAGGGTTTCGTGGTTTAGGGTTTAAGGGTTTAGGGTTTAGGGGGTTAGGATTTAGGGGTTTAAGGGTTTAGGGTTTCGTGGTTTAGGGTTTAAGGGTGAACTATGGCAGTTTCTACCATGAGAGTTTGTACCTTAACAGGAAGTCGAAACAGGGAACCAGGGTGCGCACTGCTAGAAACCAACGGGGCTCTGTTTGGGGATGGGGGAGAAAAATGGAGTTTGCGAAGCCGAAGCCACAAATGGAGCACCCTGCTGCGAGCCTTTTCCAGTGCGTCGGCTGCCCCTGAGTCCGGGATGCTTAGGCTAATAGGGTTTTATTGTTTAGGTTTCTTCGGGTCTGTAAGCTTTCTTTCGTGGTGGTTCAGTCGCGTTGTATTAGGTCCAAAGATGGGTTCCGGGTTTACGCTTTTGCGGTTGTCGGAATTAGGTACTAGGTTCTCCAGTAATGAAGAAGATACATCCTAAACTAAACCCTAAGCCCTTGCAGAATCGCAGCTACTCAAGGAACAAGATGCAGGAGCAAGGAAACTAATCCGGCTGGCTTGGGGTCTGAGGGCCTGGGGTTAAAGTTAGGGCCAAAAGTTCAGGGGTGTACCTTGAGCCGCCCTTAGGTGCACATCCTGAGGTTATCATGAGCAAAGGACATAGTTCCCAGGAGCAGTAAAAGTAACAGTAGCCGAAACAACCATAAGGAACTATGTAAAGAATCCAGAATACATGGTACCGTGAAGAAGTAGGGTAACTTTTTGGGCTACAGGCACACACCCAGATCCTAAACTCACTGATAGCCCTCAGCCCCTAAATCAAAAAGTATTCTGTCCTCCGGAACCTGTCGGGTATCATGGGGAACTAAAGGTTTACCTTTTTGGTTATACAGGGATTATATCGGGGATATGCTACCCAAAAATAGGTTAAAGGTTACCTACGCTTCTACTGGGAAGACATGGAACCCCAAACCCCAAACCCCCGGTCCCGGCACGCACGCTTTCGAAATGAAATCGCGAACCCTACAGCCCAGAAGCACTAAACTTTTAAACTCGCAACTCCACTTCCATAAAGCGCTAGGGCCTCAAACCATACTTGGAGGAGCACAGGACTATAGTGCGAAAAGTTCAGATATATTTAGTTGGGATATACATACACAACCATAAACCCCTAAACCCTAAACCCCTCTAAATCTAAACCCTAAACCCTAAAACCCTAAACCCCTCTAAATCTAAACCCTAAACCCCTCTAAATCTAAACCCTAAACCCCTCTAAATCTAAACCCTAAACCCCTCTAAATCTAAACCCTAAACCCTAAACCCTAAAACCCTAAACCCCTCTAAATCTAAACCCTAAAACCCTAAGCCCTGAAGCCTCAGACCCCACATCCTGCAGCCGAAGCACCGGTCTTCATCGCTTCCACGTCGGACATAGCTTTGGCCTGTTGGGACCTGCCAGGCTCTGTTTTTTTTTTTTTTAACTTTTTTAGGGTGTTAGTTCGTTTTTTAGGGCTTTAGGGTTTTCGTGGGTTTAGTTGGTAGTTGGTTTCGGGGTTAGGGTTTTAGGGTTCAGGGGTTTAGGGTTTAGGAGGTTTAGGGGGCTTAGGGTTTAGGGTTTTAAAGTTTAGGGTTTAGGGTTTAGGGTTTAGAGTTCAGGGTTTTAGGGTTTTAGTGGGTTTAGGGCTTAGGGGTTAGGGTTTTAGGGTTCAGGGGTTTAGGATTTAGGAGGTTTAGGGGGTTTAGGGTTTAGGGGTTCAGGGGTTTAAGGGTTTTAGGGTTTAGGGGTTTAGGGGTTAGGGGTTTATGGGTTTAAGGCTTAAGGTTTTAGAGCTTCCGAAAGCCAGTGAGAACAAAAGGGGCGAGGGGTTGAAGATCTTTGAAGGGTTTAGGGTTTAGGGTTACCCTAAACCCTAAACCCCTTATAGTAAGGTTGAGACTTTGGGATTTCGGAGGTTGGCTGGGGACGGAGCTCTGGGTGGCAAGTAGTCTCGTAATGCAGCCGGGTTCGGGTTTTTCTGGTAAAGGGTTTAGGGTTTAGGTTAGAAGGGGCCCCCACCCTGTAATAGTGGTATAATAGGAATATAATAGGGGCCCCTATTATATTCCTACATATTCCTACTATACCACTATTACAGGGTGGGGGCCCCTTTTAAGGTTTAGGGTTTAGGGTGTTTTCGAACTTTTCAATACGATAGATTAGCCGGTCTCGGCTTTCCTTTGCACTTGCAACAAGACGTGCTTGAGGGTGTACTTGGGGGGTCGGGGGACTTAGTAACTGGCTATTTTCGGGACTTATAAGTACCATCACCCCAATTAGGGTCCTTTTTAGGGTACTTATAAGTCTACTTACTAAGTCCCCCGACCCTCCAAGTAGGGTCTTGCAAAGGCAAGGGTGTCGAGCGTTGAGGATGTAGAGTACGAGTCACAACATTGATTCACAATTTCTGTTGCTCCTCGATGTTCGCCTTGGCACAACACAAGACACTGCGAATCTAAGTCATATTCACGTCAACCCAGAACTCTCAAACCTCAGTCCTAAGCCCTCCAAAAACTCACTCTTGCACCGACAAAGACGAGCCAGCAGCTCATATCCCAACTGGCTAAGACAGTAGGTGGAGCCACACGTCACACTTCCAAAAAAAGCACACAGACTCTTACATGACCTCACGCCGCAGAGTTTAGGACCTTAACGTTTAAGGAGGCAGAGACAGTTTAGAATCCGAAACCCTCACCACTAAACTCTACCTAAACCCTAAACCCTAAACAACTAAACTCTAAACCCTAAACCCTAAACCCTAAACCCTAAACCCTAAACCCTAAACCCTAAACCCTAAACAACTAACCTCTAAACCCTAAAACCCCAAGATTCCAGGCCCTGAGAGGCAGACGCGGCAGGGTCGGCAGGGAGCGTCGCCAGTCCGGCCGCCAGTTCGCCCGTCAACTGCAAAGACACGCAAAGTCTCGGGAACTTGGGGTGAGGATCTAGGGTTTAGGGCTTAGGGAACTTAGGGTTTAGGGTTTAGGGCTTAGGGAACTTAGGGTTTAGGGAACTTAGGGTTAGGGTCTTTTTCTTTGTCGCCCCTTTTCCGAATGCCAGAAGTGTTGTCCGAAAAATCTGTCAGACTGAGGATTCGGATCCAGGGTTTAGGGTTTCCCTTGTTTTTTTTTGCGGGGGGGGGGGGGGGGGGGTTTAGGGTTTAGGGTTTAGGGGTTTAGGGTTTAGGGGTTTAGGGTTTAGGGTTCAGAGTCTCGGGAGCTTAGGGTTGGATCCAGGGTTTATGTTTTTGGGGCACCAGTAGCAGCACCTCGCTTGTAAAGTCCCTGCATGACTACAATAGAATAACTCCAACCCTACACCCTCAACAGATCAAGTGCTGTTTAAGGCATGCAACGGATGAAGAAAGACGCGAGAATTAACGGTGGAAGTTTAGCTCTACACCGTAAGCTTGTTGTCCTAGAATCCTCTACGCTGTGGCCAGCGATGCACTATTGACTATTGACTATTGGAGGTCAAACTGACAACTCCCAAACTTCCCTGAAGTCTCAACCCGCACCCTTACCGCAATGAAACCTGCGCCCTGTACCCCACCAACATCCACAACATAAAGCCCTCACACGTGGCTATAACCTAGAAGTCATTTGGCAGTTATCGTAATACTAAACAGGAAACACTAAAAACAGTACTGATAGTATACATTTTATTTTACTCGTACCAGAAATATTCACGAACACATGAGAATTATGCAACAGCAACACAAAAATAACTACAGTTACAAGCATAGTTATACTAATGACAACGATTGTCTTAAACATAGTCATACTACTTGTACTGCTACTCCGGCTCCTGCTCCTGCTCCTCCTCCTCCTCCTACTACTAGTACTACTAGTACTACTAGTACTACTAGTACTACTAGTACTACTAGTACTACTAGTACTACTTGTACTACTAGTACCACTAGTACTACTAGTACTACTAGTACTACTAGTACCACTACTACTACTACTACTACTACTACTACTACTACTACTACTACTACTACTACTACTACTACCACTACTACTACTACTACTACTACTACTACTACTACTACTACTACTACTACTACTACTACTACTACTACTACTACTACTACTACTACTACTACTACTACTACTACTACTACTACTACTACTACTACTACTACTACTACTACTACTACTACGACTACTACCACCACCACTACCCTTACCAGGACAAAAGCCGTGCATCCTCCTCCAGGCGTCGGAAGCCACGGCCAGCCGAAGATTGAGACTGGGCAGCGTTGACTTTCGGGTTCCGGGTTTGGGCTTTAGTTGGTTTAGGGTTCAGGGGGGGGTTTAGGGTTTAGGGGGTTTAAGGGGTTTAGGGTTGAGGGGTTTAGTTGGTTAAGGTTTCGAGGGTTTAGGGTTGAGAGGTTTAGTTGGTTAAGGGTTTAGGGGGTTTAGGGGGTTTAGGGTGTTTAGGGGGTTTAGAGTTCAAGGGTTTAGTTGGTTTAGGGTTTAGGGGGTTTAGTGGGGCTTCGGGCTTTGAGTTTAGGTTTTTTCATGCGGTGACATCCGTTGAGAGCCGCTTCCTTCAAGGGTTCTTCTAGCCTTTCCCCTGAGAGCTTTTTTAAAATTTTGGTGATCTGTCTGTAGTGAACCCGGGAGGGTCGGAGAGAATCCGTGGGGTGGGGCTCTTCGGGTTTAAGAAATGCAGGTTGTTTTCGGCTCGAGGTTTAGAACTTCAGGCAATTGCTGGTTTTCATCGGGCCTCTATGTTTTTTTTTGTCATGGTTTCGGTTTTAGGGTTGGGGGGTCGGAGAACCCTGAACCCCACACCCTAAAACCCACCCCAAAAGCCCTAAACCCTGGACCGGGCGTAGGGCGTTGTTGAATAGCAGGGCATTGACGTAGAAAAGGGAAATAGTATACACTTTCATGTCTTGATGTTCCTTCAAGGGACAGGTCCTCAAGAGCATGGAAGTATGGTGCTCCAGAATCCAGGGTATGATGCCCCCCCCACCCTTTCAGAAAATTCAGCTGCACGGGGTTGGGGTTTGGGGGTTCAAGTTGGGGATGAAGGTCTAGGTTTTCGGGTTTGTTGGGGTGTGGGGGTTTAGGGCTTTAGCGATTCAGGGTTCAGGGGGTGGGTGTTGGTTACTTAAGGGTTTAGATTCGGGTCTGTCGCTGTTGCACAGAGTTGGTGTCGCCGACTCAATCCGTGAGTGCTCGGAGTGCAGTCGCCCATCGCGGCCGCAATGGAAACTTCGAAGCACCCTCAACAGCAACAACAACAACAAACTCCCTAGCTCCAACCACTCATTTAAAAGAATAGGACCATGCGCAACAACACGCAACCTTAAAACCCAAAGCCACTAGATCCCTGCAAGCCCAAAGCCTTGCACCTTGAACCCTAATATCAAAGCACCTAAACCCTGAAACTCTCGTAAAATTCACCGGCCACCCTCACCCCTTGAAGCCTTAACTCTAATGACTATCACAAGAAGCCCTCAAACTGTATTGGTTCTTATTTCGGCCCCGAACCCTAAACCCTAAACCCTAAGCTGCGCCAAGGGGCCCTGAACTTGTCGTTCTGCCGGATCCTCTCATCTCGCCTGCACAAGGATGGTTTAAGGTTTGGGGTTCAGGGTTGAGATTATAAACAAAGCAACTATACTGTACTTAGAACTACTTATAATCCCAATTAAGGTACCTATGATACCTATGCACGCGGATGGTGGTCCTCTTCACGCTTTCGACTTAGGGCAGGCATGTGCACTGTGGTTTCAGGAGTTACCCCAAGGGTCCAAGTACCCAATAGTCATATACTCTCCGAAATCCGAACCTACATAACTACTACCGAGTACCTGATTGTTGGGACCTTTGGACCCTTGGGGTTGGGGTTGATTGCGGTTTAGCGCACAAACAGCTGAGCAGGATGCCAGTAAGCTAGGAAAAAACGGGCTCCCTTTTTGGTATTGGGTAGCTTTGTAAGGGGCCTAGGACTACAGAAAGGGAATAACGGTACTACTGGGCATCCTAGAGTCGGTTTAGGCATGTTCATGTTTCATGGCTCCTGGGCCCTGACCCAGTCTGATAGGTTTAGGGGTTAAGGGTCTAGGGTTTAGGGTGTAGGGGTTTAGAGGTTCGGGGGTGTAGGGTATACATCGGCTTGTAAATGAGCGAACAACTCCCCTAATTGAGACTGTACCCATAGGCCCCAAAGTAGTTCCTTCTTGGGATTACCTTATAGTATTCTAAATATGAACCCCAAAATGGAACTTCTTTGGGGCCTTAGGGTAATGCTGCCGGTCGCTTACAACCAGTTTGCCACGTCCCCAGAACCTCCGACTAAAATGACGAATCCGAAACCAAGTCTCCTGTCCTTCTATTCTGGCTTCTGACGGCCTAAACACAGGCAGAAGCCCTCCCAGTTTACCTCAAACCCTGAAGCATAACTCAACCCGGCCCTCTTCGGGCTTTGTAAGCAGGGTTGAGGGCACTTCTTTGTTCAGGGGGTGTGTGTGGGAACATTGGGTTCCAGGGACCTCGCGATATGGGAGTTTCCGAAAATTAGGAAACCTTATTCTGGGGTCCTTATAGTAAGGATCCTACTATTTAGGTTACTAAATGAGGGTCCCCTATTTTCGGAAACTCCCATATGTAGAACCTTCTACATTTCGAAGCAAGCAAGCATCATCGCAAAGCTCAGGTAGCCGCGGCCTAGGGTTTAGGGTAACAGGGTAATAGGAACAGCCCCCTAGACCCTAAAACCCTAAACCCCCAACCCCTAAACCCCTAAACCGCTAAACCCAAAACCCTTAAACCCCAGGCCCTTAAACCCTTAAACCCTAAACCCCCAACCCCTAAACCCCTAAACCGCTAAACCCAAAACCCTTAAACCCCAGGCCCTTAAACCCTTAAACCCTAAACCCCCAACCCCTAAACCCCTAAACCGCTAAACCCAAAACCCTTAAACCCCAGGCCCTTAAACCCTTAAACCCTAAACCCCCCAACCCCTAAACCCCTAAACCGCTAAATCCAAAACCCTTAAACCCCAAGCCCTTAAACCCTTAAACCCTAAACCCCCGACCCCTGAACCCCTAAACCCTATAAACCCTAACGAGTCCCCGACGTCTCTCGGATCTCCTTGTTGATCTTCTCAAGTTGTGCTGGGGCGAGGCAGGCGGACGACCCCAAGCTTGGCTCTTTTAGGGGCCTTAATAATTAGAATAGGGGTTCCTTTAAAGGGTTCCTTTGAAAGGGTTCCCTATAAAGAGGTCTATGAAGGATCTAAAAAACGGTTCTATGGTATAGGGGCTTAGTAATTAGAAGATGGCTTCCTTGACAGGGCTTCTTTAGAGGGGTTTATATAGGGGTTACTACAATAGTATCTTTTTGACCTTTCTGTCCATGACGAAGCGGGTACATCTCCTTTCGTCAATTCTATCGCTCTTCTTCCTAAACCCGAAACCCCTTATTCTTAGTGTTGTTGCTTGTCGACGTCCATTCTTCTTACGAGTTTCAGAGCGGGACTTAATGGAGCATATACCTTAACCCCACGTAACCTACCTTTTCAAGGACTTGTATAAAGAAATCATATTAGGGAACCCTAAAAAGGGAGGTTCCTTAGGGTCCAGGTAGCTCGAACGCTGCAGAGGAGACGTGCTCGAAGCTTCTGTTGGCTCGTGCGCTGGTGGCCAAGCGGTCCATTCGAGTCGAAGTTTAAAGTTTAGTAGGGTTTAGGGTTTAGGGGCTTTACGATGTTCTAACAACAACTTTGGGTTTGGGGCTTTTTAAACAGATCGAAACACGCAACTTTGGGTTTAGGTTTTTGTTCAAAACAAGCTGTCACATTATATAGCCTGTTTCAGCAGGTCCCGCAAGCAAGTAACAGGGAGAAGGGTGCCCGTGCCCGAACGTCTAGCGCCCCACACCAGGGTTTAGGGGTTCTTCTTTTTATAAAGGGCCCTTTTTGAGAGAGTTTCGGGTTTACCTTAACCCCACGTAACCTACCTTTTCAAGGACATATATAAAGAAATCATATTAGGGAACCCTAAAAAGGTAGGATCCTTAGGATCCAGGTAGGATCCTTGGGGTTACCCTAAGCCGTAAACCCGGAAGCCTCTTCCTTGCAAAGGCCCGGGGAGTAGACCTTCCTAACACCCTCTTTACAAGGGGGTCTATAAGGGCTACTAAAAGGGATCTATAAGGGTACTATAGTAATTATAGGGGCCTTAAACCTGAGAATAAGGAAAAGGGTTTTGGGGCCCGTTATACTATACCTGGACCCTAAGGAACCTACCTTTTTTAGGGTTCCCTAATATGATTTCTTTATATAAGTCCTTGAAAAGGTAGGTTACGTGGGGTTAAGGTAAAGCATACTAGGATGCCCAGGAACCTAGGAACAAAAACGGCTCCCTTTTTGGTATTGGGTACCTTTTTAAAGGAGCCTAGGACTCCAAAAGGGAATAAGGGTACGACTGGGCATCCTAGCATAGGGTCCCTTTACAGGGATCTGTAGGGTTCCCTTTAAGGGATCTATAGGGTTCCTTTGGAGGGATCTATATGTATCCAACGTATCAGTTCGGGTGCTCACCCCGAGCCCTAAACTTTGAAACCTTGTTTTGCAGCAGGCCTCGTTGTCCAGCAGCCCCGTTACAGCAAGAGCCCCCCCCTTCCCCCGCTTCTTCAAAGCAACTTTGAAACCCAAAAAAGGGAACCCTATTATAGAACCCTGTGGTACCCTTTACAAGGAACCTTCCTTGTAGAACCCTACAGTACCCCAAGGGTCCAAAGGAACCAGTAATCAGGTATATGGGTTCAGGATGGTAGTTATGTAGGTTCCTAGTTGGCAGAGTATATGATTACTAGGTACTTGGAACCTTGGGTACCCTTTACTAGTTGATGGTTGGGATAGGATTAAAAAACTTAATTAAAATGTTTATTCCTTATTGGGTTTAAGTACCCATCAAAACGTAAATTGTTACCCAACTATGACAAAGTTTAATGGCTCCGGAATAAGCTCCGCACCGGCAGTGAAGCTTCCAGGTCCGAAGAACTGCTGGCCGCGCGTCACTGTTGTCTGGGATGAGCCATTTGGATGGTTGTCAAAATTTTAATATTAGATAATATAAGGTACTATTTTTAATTGCAAATTATGAAAGGAAGAATAGTGATTAAGATAAAATTTCGAGAATGAATAATTAGGGTCCCTTTTTGGGTCCCTAATATAGTACGGCACCTACTGTTGAAGGTACCCAAGAAGGACAGTAACTTTGACAACCACCCATGTTACGGGACCTTAAACTATAAAATAAAAGCCAGAAAGTTGGAATATGATTCTCCTACACCCTTTATGGTAAATTATAGGGTATCCTACCCTGAAACCATATTCCAACTTTCTGGAGTTCCCTTTAGTGGAACCCCTAGTCTGATTGAAGGAAGATTCCTCACTTAAGGGATATTGGAGTCTCTGGGTTACGGGAACCAGACACAAGCTGCCACTACTTGGAGGCCCTTTTGACTTAGTAAGTCGGGTTAGTAAGGTGGGTTATGGGGATTATAATGGGGTTTCTAGGGGATACTAAGTAGACTTACTAAGTCAACAGGGCCTCCAAGTACTACTACGACGACGACTACTACCACCTACTACTGCTGATACTACTCGTATCAGCACAGCAACAATAACTACTACTGCTACTACCACTGCTTCCGCTGCTACGTAGTGACAGCCAGGATCCCCGACACCGGGCATCAAACTCCCATGGTCCTAAATCGGGCCCCCAAAAGCGCATAGGCAAAAATCAGGATAGGCATATCCCATATAAGGATAGGAATATCCCATAAAAACATCCTCATAATGAAGCCCAATAAGGCAGGGATATCCCCTATAACATGTTTCTGTGCTTTTGGGTCCCTAACGAAAGCCCGACAACAAGTCATGTCGAGATTCTGGGCGCCAAAGCATCGAAATGCGTCTTGGTTTAGGGTTTAGGGTTTAGGGTTTAGCCACATGAGCCGATTTAACCCTCATCGTACGGATTTCTGGTTAGTGTTGGAAGCAAAAGTGTCTATAAACTCCTATGAAAGTGTCAGTCGCGCCTTATGGAACTGTAAACGCCCCCAAAAGGATCCTTCTGAAACTCCTATACAAGGCAAGAGTCAGCCGAGACGGCACCAGGGAAACCACCTCCTTCGATCTTTGCAATTCTTTCCTCCTAGGCCGCAGGCAGACTTGACGTGGCTTCGGGAGGTAGGGGCTCCTCTACGTGTCCCTGATCGCAGCCTTGTATGGGACTTTCCGAAAAATATAGGGGACCCTAATGTTAGCACCCTAAGTATTAGGATCCTTATTATAAGAGCCCCAGAATAAGGTACCCCGATTTTCGGAAACTCTCATATAAGGGCTCTGCAATGACGATAGATTCTGCTGCCCTAAGCCCCAAACATTGAACTAAAGAACCTTGGGGGCTTTAAAAACCTAGCGGTCACCGTCTAATTAGGCCCCTTCAAGAAATGCGGCCCTTTTCGGCCCTGCTTGGTAAGGGTTATGGAAAGGCTCCATGTTCTCTGAAATTCCACATACGGTTTTGGATGCATTTCGGGGGGGTTTAGGATTTGCGCTTTAAGAATGAAGGCTTTCGATTTGGAGTTCTTGGGGTTTTGGGCGTAGGGTGCTGGCCATGGATGATGACGACGTGCAGGTGATGAACCTGTTCTCGTCAACAAACTGTTGACAGGTCTGAATGCACGCAACAACAAGATGACGATGGTGGTGAAGATGAAGATCAAACCCTCGGGATCAAAACAGCCCAAAAGCCTTACATAGTATGGTCTTTGGGCCCAGCAGCCTTAATGTATGAGTCCTTAGATCCCTAGGGAATGGGAAGGTAGCTACATGGTTATGTTGATGATGACCAACAAGGCCAGGATTATGATGACGATGAAGCGGTCAAGGTGACAATGCTGGTGGTTGAGGGTGGTTTTGGTTGCGGGAATATAAGGGCCTTGATAATTAATTAGAGTACGGTTTTGGGACCTAATATACCATAGTTATGATAAGGAACCATCAAAATAGCATAAAGTTAATTATTTGGGCCCCTGTATTGGCAGAGTTACAAAAACAAGCTCCCAAGCAGGTTGTGCGCGTTCAACCCACGTTGCCAACCAGGGTGCCCAGTAGCCATGTCTGGGAAGGCAGCTGGACCTGAGACACCCAGAGTGGCACAGGTTCCGGGTCGAGGGCTTTCAGGTCAATCTTGGTGACAACCACGCTACTAGTATCGGCAGTAGTCAGAGCACTGGTCAGCGTGGTTCATAGCATGAGCAGGTAATTGAACTGCTCGAATCAGTCACCGTTGCAACGCAACCCAAACTCGCCTACTATAGGGGCCTTAATAATTAGAAGCCCTTGATAGTATAGTTGAAATAAGGAACCCCCAAAAATGTATTAGTAATTATTATCATGCCCCTGTATTAAATATGCCCCAGTCACCTCATGTTGGCTCCGGCTGCACCAACCAGGGCAGCATTCGCCATGAAGCCTGGCTTCGCTCTCGAGTGGTCTCTGCCTGAACCCTGTAAGGATCCTGTGCGGTTTAGGGTTGAGGGTTTAGGGTAGCCTACCTTTCTACGGTTCCAAACCATGGTTTTCTTGTATAAGTTCTTGAAAAGGCCGTTTGCTAGAAGTTCAGGTGCAGGTTACGATTATCAGGGACTGCACGCCGCGTCTGGTGGTCGCCCTCGGCCACGGCAGCTCAAATTCAGAGATAGAGCAATGCCGAAACATGTTCAGAGACTCTAAACTTTAAACCTTAGGGCAGCTTGTTAGTTTAGAGGGCTGAGGGTTCGGGTTAAGACATCGAAACCAGCCTTCATGAGCTGGAATCTCTCTCAAGGGCCCGAACCCAAGAATACCATCTCGCTACAGTCCTTCGACCCGTGCAAAGCCCTCTAACATCGAAATACCGAACGTCATCATCAACTTCAAGAGTGCACAAGTGTTCTCAACTCGCATGTGCAGAATGTGAGACCTAAACGCAATCCGACAAGACAACAAAAGTTGTCACACGTGACCATGGCACACTTTCCGAGCCATGTGTAATGCTCCGATCGACATGTTTCTGCTCCTCGGGGCTTGCCAGGATCGTAACTAACCAGGACAACAGTTGTTACCAACTGCCAAGGAAAATGATATTTCCGGTACTATTCTTTCGAGAAGTTATGTCACTTTTCAAACCGAAAACCATGGACCAGAACACTTCACGCAAGATCCTTTGCTGTTTGGTGTCAGTGGCTTGCTAAACTGCAGCGATGAAGTCCTGATACTTGACAGATTTGACAGTAGACCAGGTCCGAGCAGCGAAATACATGCGTAGAGGGGCGTAGCGGTTTGGAGCTTAGGGGGTTCAGGGTTTAGCGATTAGGTTTAGGGTTCGGGGTCTAGGGTTCAGGGATTTGATTGAATTTTGTAAGGGTTCAACGGTCCGAAGATTCAGGGTCTAGGCTTTAGGATGCATGGCCTGACGTGGGGTTGGACGTGCTGTAGACGTCGGTCTGCATACATGAAATGGTTGAACTCTGTCGAGTTTAAGTAAGCTTTGTGCAAGCAAACCCCATCTAGTCTGATGCATCCCGAGCAACCGGTCATGTCGATGGCGCCTTGCAGCACATGTGAATACAATATAACGTGTAATATACATGTAGGTATATATGTTAGATAATGCATAATATGTAGTATACAAAACTGATGTGTAAACCGCGTTGGGCTCAACAACTTCAGGCGCGAAGCGTCCTAAGGGGGTTGTGCTTCGGGTTCCTGATTCTGACCCTACTTGTGCTATAACTGTATAGGGGGCCTTGACAATTGGCATAAGTAATAAGGTCTTTGGAGTTTCTTCTAGTAGGATTATACTAAGGAAACCCCAAAATTTCGAAATGGTAGTGGTATTTGTGTGGTTGTTTGTAGTATTAAGGTCCCAACATTACAGCCGTCCTCAGACTCTTATTGTGTAGTAGCATGTCAGGCGCAGATTTCGTGTTCGGGGGCTCAAATTCGAGGGGCAGGAGGCCATTGCAAGTTACTTCGGCCCAACTTTCTGCACAAGCTCGAAGGCTGAAAGGTCTCGAGGACAAGGATCATAGAAACTCCAAGCCCTGAACCCTTAAACAATGAAATCTGAAACACAAACTATAGGACTGAGGATCACGGAATTCCATAATTCTTGCCATATCAAGCTCCAGCTATAAGGCTTTCGGAGGCAGGCGTTTTGGGCTGGGACTTAAAGCATGGGCTGTCGTCAAAAGAGTTAAACCACAGTTGCAATGAATAGCAAACTGATAATTAGCGCTTGCTAGGTTGTGATAGCTTGCGTTTGCTTTCTTCTACATCCCTGCTCATGAACCCCCATTCTACAAAGCCTTGTACAGTCCTGGAGAGCAATGTTTCTTTAAACCCCCTATAAACTCACCGAAAAATCTTGAACATCATAAAACACCTTTAAGATTTCCTGCAGGGCCCTAAATTCCCTGAGACAAGACCATGGATAGTTCTCTGAATCAGGGTACCGTTTGGGAGGTGTTGATAAGCGTGCCGCCTAATTTTGGGTTCCTCAACAGGGACCCCAATTCAGAGAAGTACCCACATACTGGAACACAAAAGATGCCAAGTTCATGCCGAGAAACAGCCGGCTTGGACGTTGAACGTTGGACCTGACCCGATGCTTTAGACACTGCTTTGGGTTGCTGTAATGTATTTTGGCCTACTTGTCGGATATCATGGGGAAACAAAAGCTAACCTTTTCGTTATATAGGGATTAAATAGGGACTAACTAGACTACCCAGATAAGGTTAAAGGTTACCTACTCCACTACGAGGTTGGGGTTGTGGATTTACGTCAAGGATCAAGTTTCTAGGGTTGAGCTCAACGGATCTTTATACGGTTGTAGGGCTTCGTGGGATTAAGCTGCCAAACTGGCCCCTGGTATCGACAGACCAGAAGGATTGCTAGGAGGGCTGTATCGCGACTTTGAACTTTTTGTTCGGTGACTCTGCGCTTTAGCAACGGGCTTAAATCTAAGAGAGTTCTACAAAGGTTTTGAGGAGGAGCTTCACCTAAGAGGGTGCTGTGAGGTTTCATTGGGTTCTCAGGGACTTGTAGAAGGAGCATAATGTAAGTCCCCGCTGAAACATCGTAACCAAACACATTTCCTTAAGTTGGAACTCAACTCAAGAACGGGGTTGCGATGCTGCACAGCAGCAACGAAGCTGTACCGGCATTCTGTTGTAAGCCTACTTTCCGGAAAGGTCCCAAAGCCTAAACTCGGAACCTAGCCCGAAAGCCTAAACTCTAAACCTCAAACCCTGACGCCGCCAAGCAAGAACCACAACGCTTCGATAGTAAAGCCTGAGCCCTAAATGCTGAACCTCAAACCCTAACCCACAGATTGAACCCTAAACCGTAAACCCAAAGCCTAATATAGGGGCCTTAACAACTAGAATAGGGTTCCGGGGAACATTGTACTGGAACTATAATGAGGAACCCCAAACTGGTATTGTAATTATTTACACGCGAACCACTGCTTAGGAACTCATCACAAGGACCCCTAATAATCTAGGTTTCTTCGGGTCCAGGTAGTTTTAATGGCTAGTTCAAGGAATAAACAGGGCTCCCTAATTGGTGTTGGGTACCTTTATAAGGAACCTAGGACTGCAAAAAGGTGATAAGGGTACTACTGGGCATCCTCGTATAAGAGTTTTTGGTGTTTGGGGTTAGGGTCTTAGGGCGTAGGTTCAGGGCTTGCAGAATACTACCAGTACTGCCATGTTTCCAAAAAGGCGCTACTAAAGACAAAGCCAGAAAGTTGGAATACGATTATCCTAAACCCTTTATGGTAAATTATAAGGTATCCTACCCTGAAACCATATTCCAACTTTCTGGAGTTCTTTTTACGGTTTCAGGTCTAGGTTTTAGGTGGATTGACCGCACATAATAATCAGGAATAAGACCGAGCTTGGGAATCCGGAATGGGTCTGGTTTTTCTAGACCCCAGACCCTTAACCCTAAACCCCTATACTGTAAACCCTAAACTCTAAACCCTAAACTCTAGACCCTAAACTCTAAGCCCTTAACTCTAAACCCGCAAACGAACATCGTGCATCCATGCGGCCGCAAGAGCTGACCCTCGGAGAAGTTGAAACGCTAAACTCTGAGGTTTGTTAGGTCAGGTTTTTATTTCTTAAGAGCTCTTTTGTGCCTGCACGAAGGTTCGGACTACTCAGGGTTTAGGCTTTACAGTGTAGGGCAATATAGAAGCCGAAGTTTAGATAAATACCAACAACGTTCTGGGATTCAGTTTTAGTTATGGAGCAACATACTCTGAAACCCTATTGTAATCTCTAAGCCCCTACATCTTTGTTTGTTTCAATCCTTGGGGATTGAGGTGGCTAGGATTTTGAAACCCAGAATATTTATCAGGAGGTTTTGCAGCTTGGGGTTCCGGGATAGGATTAGGGTCTAGGGTTTAGGGTTTAGGGGTCTGGGGTTTAGGGGTTTAAGGGTCTAGGGGTTTCGGGTTTGGGGTTTAGGGCTTTGAGGCATTGGCGCGGGTTTTGGCGGTTTGTCGTTCCGGTGTATTCCCCAAACTCCAACGGCCTACAGTTTCAGCCCAAAGCCCTAAAGCCCGTTGAGGAACCCCTAAAGATCCCTTTAAAGGAACCCAGAACCCCTAAACCCCTGAACCCTCAACCCCTGTAGGAAGGTTCGATTCGGGTCTCCGGCTCGAATGGGAGCTTATGGAGCTTGAGGCTCCGTTTGGCGCCGAAAGCCTCGTTCCCAGACATTCCAAAATCCTTAATTCAGGACTATACTTGAAATCATGATAGGATCCCTTATATGAAAAAAGGCATATTCCTTAATTAAGGGATTTTGGAAGGTCTCTAAAATGAAATAAGGCATATTCCTTAATTAAGGGATTTTGGAAGGTCTGTAGGGTTTAGCCTGGAAGGTCCGTGGCCCGTTCGGGTTTAGGGTTTAGGCTAGGTGCAAGGAAAGCTCAGCCTCAACCCGAAATCAAGAACTCCACGCTCCTTCCCCAATTTCTCGAGGCGCATATCCTCGATGTAGATGGCGATGTAGCCCCAAATCGCCAGGTTCAGTTGGACCATGGCTGAAGCAGGGAATTAGCATCTAAAATGTCCCGTAACCTAGGAATAAAAAGGGCTCCCTCTTTGGTGTTGGGTACCTTTATAAGGAGCCTAGGACTACAAAATGGGAATAAGGGTACTACTGGACATCCTAGGCATAGGGTTTCGGGTTCAGGGTTTCTCAGACTCACGGAAGTGCCAAGTTCGAAGATACAACCCCAAGTCTTGTGGGCTTATAGAAGGGGACATTTTAGGAAGGGGCCTCTTTCAAGAGTTCCAGTTTTGGATCGCGTGGGCTTGTTCAGTGCACGCCTGTTTTATGGAGTGGCGAACTTGTGTTAAGGGTTCCGCTTCAGGCTGACCTACGCATGTTGTGAAAAGCGCCCTCGGCGTGCAGAGCTTCTAGTATCCCCAATCTCCGAAACCCCAAACCGCAGGACTCCTTGAACGAGCTCTTTGCAGGACCCTACGCCGCGAGCATTAACGACTAGAGGAGGCATTTTCGAGTTCCTTCTAACGTGTAGAACGGCCCTGATTAGGCCATGTTCTAATTATGAACCCCTATACCCTAGACCCCAAAGCCCCTGTAAAAGGCCGACGGACCTGACACTCTACTATCATGTGCCTGCGCAGAAATCCTGCTGGGCGGCATCCATGGGGTACGGACTCTTGCAAGCAACCGTCACCTCAGAGAGAGAGACAGAGAGACAGAAAGCGTTCTTGTGAGTATTATTTTGAGAGTTTGGAAATGAGCGCTAAGATCTCAGGACTTGCTGCTGAGTAGTGCCAATTTGGTCCGTGCTACACCGACTAGTTAGTAGGGGGCGGGACAGAAGCGGCAGAGTGCAGGCACGAAGAGCACAAACAAACCCTAACCAAGCTCTACACTGCGACGGAGCCTAAATTTAATCCTATCGCAACCGGCTAAAGCGACAGGGGAACATTTGTCGAAACACTTTCATCTTTTGTAGTTGCACTGGGCAGGTTCGTACGTCAGGATGTTGGGCTGTCGGGCCAGTATCCAACGTCCCTCATGTAGGAACCTGATTAAGAAACCTTGGGCGTTGTTAGGCCTTATATGAGTCCTACTATTTTGAGGTGGGTTCTAGGCCCAGGGTTTCTTAATCAGGTTCCTACATTAAGTGTCTTGAGTCCTGAACTGGAACCCTAAATCGTCAAACTCTGTGTCGAAGCCCTTCGATATAGTGCACGGTGCATTTTGCACCCCGCCTTCTCTTCTCCGAATTCAGGGCATGTGCGGGATCCTGTTCACGAAGGTGGATACCCATTGGGGGGTAGGGGTGGTGGGGGTGGGGCCGCCGGGGGGCAGGTCTTAGGATTTACGGGTTTAGGGAAGCCCAAGTCACAGTGCGGATGTTCGTGACGATCCTCGGATGGTCGTGCACTGACGACAGCTTTACACTCCTTCCGCGCTAACCAAGCGTCTTAACCCTAATTACTCTAAAAGCCCTTAAAGACCCCAAACTCTAAACCCTTGACCCCTACAAGCCCCCAAAGAAAACCAAGATTGCAAATCCGGCTCCTGTAAGGGCGTGATCTCTGCGCTTCTACTTGGATCGGTGCTTGGTCAAAAAATTGCTCCTCTTGGCTGTGCCCGGAGTATCCCGAAATCCTGTGAGGTTTGGGATATGGGAGTTACCAAAAATGGGGGATCCCAATATAATACCCTAACTAGTAGGGTCCTTATAATACAAAAAGGTCACCAAAATAAGGTACCTCCATTTTCGGAAACTCCCATATGACCCCAGACCCTCAACTCGAGGATTTCGGGCGCAGGTTTGGACTTAGAGCTGTAGGGTTTATGATGGTTTATGGCTTCCAGGGCCCAGGCTTTGGAGTACAGTAGAAGCCAGAAAGTTGGAACATCATTATCCTCATGCCCTTAAGGTAAAGTCTAAGGGATCCTAGCACTAATCCTTCTAAAGACATGGCCCGACTTTCTGGCTTCTACTGTAAGGGTTTTCGGGGCTTAGGGTTTAACAAGGTTCGCAGGGAGGGAAACCTGGTAGGCCCCCTTGTCTCTGTTTTAAGCCGTTGTTTTAAACCAGCCCACTGTTTCAAAATACGCGATTAATTTCAAAAGGTTTAAGGGTTTGCTTCAGAAGATACTGCGACAAGGCCCAACTGTAGGATCTTGCAGGCCATGAACGAAGGAAGACCCCGCAAACCGTGCGAGTGAGGGTAAAAAGTCTACGGGAGTTCCGGAACATAGGGCTGCCAACACAAACCCCAAGCGGAAGGAGCCTACGTTTAAGGAGATCAGTCCTAGTGCGGAGTTGCCGACAAGTCTCTGCCCGATACTCGACAGGATCTGAAATGCATCAATGCCACAAAGGGCCTGCAAAACGAAACGGGTAGCGGTTCGGAAAGGGTATTTGGGGTGTGCTTGACATTGCTTGAAGGCAACTTCAAGGAACGATATCGAAAGGAGCTTTTGGTGACAGCGACCCAAACCTTTTGTCGCCCTAAACACTAGGAACAAAGGGATCTTGGCTTGCCCTCCAGTGATGTTGTTGAGCCGAGGGCCGAGGATGGGCCGTCTTCTTGGAGGCCCTCTTGACTTAGTAAGTCCACTTAGTATCCCCTAGAAACCCCATTATAATCCCCATAACCCACCTTACTAAGTCAAAAGGGCCTCCAAGTAAGAAACCCTAAACCCTATAGATCCCTTTAAGGAACCCCTATAGATCCCTCTTAGGACCCCTTTAAAGGAACCCTTACTAAGTCAAAAGGGCCTCCAAGTTGGGTGAAAGGAAGGATCTACGTGCCTGCAGAAAGCTGTTCCGGCTTCGGGTCTGAGAATAAGGTTCCATTAAAAGGGGTCTATGTAAGGGCTACTATAAGGCATCTATAAGGGTACTGTAGTATAGGGGCCTTAAGAACTACTTTACTGAACTTAGAACCCTAGCAAAAACTATAATTCTAGCTGTTTCTTAGGGATTATGATAACTTATAACCAAAAATTTAAAACTATTTCTAAGTACCCCTAAGTAGAGGGGCCTTGATCACCAGAAAAAGGGGCCTCGGGGTACATTATAGTTTACTAACACAGGGACGGTCAGGAAGCACTAGTACAGACTTTGGGGTTGCGTGCTTCAGCTCTAAGCCCTACCTGTAGGCTAATACCCTACCCCTTGTTTAGGGGATCTACTTTTCTATATAGCAGATCCTAACCATAAAACTAGGTATCCTAAAAAGGGGTAAATGATGAGCCTCTAGGTAAACCCGAAAGCTCTTTCAGGGTTTCGCCGGCACTCCAAAGCCTTTTGGCGTAGATCGCGACTCTCTGCCCTGGGTGCCAGAACCCCAAACCCAGACTTCACCAGAACCCTAAACCCCAAGCCCGAAAAAAACCCGAAACCAGGAACACCCCTGGCCCTAAACCCTAAAGCCCGCAAAAAACCTGCTGATGTAGGAACCAGATAAAAAAAGCCTGGCCCCATAGCCTGGGATTCATATAACAGAAACCCACAGGGTTCCTGAATCAGGTTCCTACATGACATATGGGTGGTTGTCAAAATCATGGTCCCTCTTTGGGTGCCCTAAATATCAGGTGCCGCACTATCATGGGACCCAGAAAGGGACCCTGATTTTCACAACCACCCACATATACACACCATTAAAACCCTGGAAAGCCCAGCTATAAGCCTGCATCGAGCCGCCTCTTTGACCCGCAACTTAGGGGCTGAATACCCTACCTAGCCCCCCCCAAAAAAAAAAGGTAAACCTTTTCAACTATGGTAGGGCTTATAGGGTTTAGGGTTTAGGTAGTCCTAGCCCAAAAAAGGTTGAGGAATATACGAAACCCATAAAGTTAACGGTTACCTACTCAGACACTAAGTTTAAGTCAAAACCCTTGAATGCCACACGGCCAGAGCCGCTCGCTCAATGACTTTCCTCTTCGAGTTTCGGGTCAAGGAGCGAGGTCCCAGAGACTCCAAAACCCTCCTTCAACTATAGTAGGATCCCTAAAACGCTTTAAGGAGTAGTCCTTAATTCAGGGATATTGGAGTCTCTGAGTTCACAGCTCAGCTGATTTGGGGTGTAGGTTTCATGGCTGTTTGGGGAGGGTTGAGGGTTTTTTAGGGAGTTTTGGGGTTGGTTAAAAGTTTAGGGCTCAGGGTTGAGAGCTGCTGAGGGTGAGAAGTTGCAGGATTAGGGTTGATCGGTTTGGGGTTTAGGGTTTAGGGTGTCAGTCAGAGAGATCGAGGATCCGTGGCTGAACTCACCTCACCCCGAGCCGAAGGTGCGGCAAAGGCACCCAAAGCATCTGCCGCATGACGTCCAGCTTTCCGACGTCATCGGGCGGCACCTGCTCAATGTTCTGCTGGAGCTTCCTGGGAACGAGCAAGAACACGGAGTCTGGGCTGGGAGTGTAGGGAATTAGGATTTGGGAGTTTCCGAAAATTAGGGGTACCTTATTTTGGGGTCCTTTTAATAATGATCCTACTATTTAGGGTACCATATGAGGGCCCCCTATTTTCGGAAACTCCCATTTGAGTTTGGGGTTTAGGTTTTATGGGACAGGGTTTGGGTTTCCGGTTTCGGGCTTCAGGCTTTCCTGGACCTTCCGAAACCTTACTGCGACTTCCTTCTACAAGTCCCTGAAAAAGTAGACTACTTGGGGTTAAGGCAAGGTAAAATCTTTTCGAGCCCTGAACCCTAAATCCCCCAAAGGCCCTAAATTCCCACCCAGGCCTGCTTAGGCCGTGCCCACCCTTTTTCTTAGGGTGCCTGGACCCAGAAGGACTTCAACCTAGCGACCTCTTTAGGTCTAAGGAGTCTAAGGGTTTAGGGTTTAGGGTTTGGGTTTTTTGGGCTTACTGTACACCTCTTTAGGCCTACGGAGACCCTTAGGGTTTAGGGTTCAGGGTTTAGGTTTTTTGGGCTTATGGTTTCAGGGTTAGCGCTGAGGTTTCAGGCTCTTAGGGAACAGGCTTTGGCACCCCCTGCTTGCCGGTTTCAGGGTTATGGGCGCGGGAACCTGCAGCCCCGAACCTTACAACTCCAAACCGTGAAGAAGATACCACTCAAGCAAACCCACAACGTAAAGCTCTGAAAGCCTAATCCTCTAAATCCAGATCTTAGGTGCTCCAGTGATTTTTCGTGGCCTGCGAACCTGTAGCCTTTGCAACTCGCACCTCGGAATCCTTGAGCAGTGTGCCTGATATTTTAGGCTTGGTAACATGCAACATGAAACCCTAATTAAACTTCAACTCCAAAACATGAAACCCTAAACTTCAACCCCAAAACCCTCAAAGCCTGAAGCCTTCGGATCAGCCCCTGATCTCGACTGCTAAATGCTCCAAGCCCGAACCCCTTTCCAGGTCCTCGCGTGGGCATCCGTAGCCTGAGCTGGACAACCGGGGCTTCAAGGTTTGGTGGGTGTGGGCTGTTTGGGGTTCTGAGGTTTAGGAAGTTTAGGAATTAGATGGGTTTAGGTTTTTGTTGAAAGAAATGTTCTAAACCCCAAACCGTTTCAGCAGGTTATAGCCTTGACCCTTCAGGCTTGCAGTGCCTCTGTTTCGGGTTGAGGGTCTGGGAGCCAGGAGTAACGCCTTGTGCCCGCTTGAGCTTACGAGCAAGGCCCCCAAACCCGCCTTTCTTGTCAACCTAAGTCCTAGCGCTTCCACAGCGCACCCACGCAAATTGCTGATAGGCGCAGTATTTCGGACTGTTTTCCTGCGTCGAAAGTTAGTTGCCCCGTCGATTTCAGAAGTTTCTGAAGCGATTCTGCTTCAGGAAGCGACCCAGCATGAGGAGCAGTGCTCTCATGTTCATGTTTTATGAATGTGAGTACACCACTGATACACATATTGCAACAGCTCAGGGTTCGCACGAGGCTCGATGTCGGGAAGGCTAACAACAAGGCGGTGGAAGGGACTGCTGAATATATTTCCAGCTACTATCAATGGTGCCAGAACAGAATGCGCCTGCAAAGCAGGCTTCCGGCCCCGACGGTGCATTTTACGCCACACGCCTTTGCCGTGGGAGACATGGTAGTGAGGCAAACCTAGGTCGTCGGCTACAGTAGGGTACAAGCGCGCCCAATCACTCACGACCGCCTCCGTGCGGCATCTGTCGATGCAGCGAAGGCCGTGGCAACTCTCCTTTGCGATTCTATATAAAGATGACTGCGACCAGATGGTCTACGCCAGCTTCGCAGAAGAGCTCAAACGTGTCCTGCAGCTCCACGGTTCCCACCACGCGCAAGCAAAGGACCATGGAAAGGCCGAGAGCCAGCCATGGCACCACCTGCTCTTGTGTCACGTCCATGGCAGAGTGGGAGTACCCTGAACCCACAACTCCAAACCCGAAACTTTACATGAACGTCCTTGCTCGGGCAGTCTGGGAGCACCCTGCACCCGACACCCTAGACGAACCCAAAAATCCCTGGACTTGTACTCCAACCCACTCGGCAACCATCCGGTACACTTCTCGTTTTGTGCGTGTGCACCTGAGCTTGCATGTGCCATGCTAGGGCTTCGAGCTTCGAGGCCTTGAAGGGTTTGGGGTTTCGAGGCGTTTAAGGGTTGGAAGGGCTTGGGGTTTGGAGGCGTTTAAGGGTTTGGGACCCTAGAGTAAGGACGTGTTTGGGGCTTAGGCTTGTCAGTGACTTCGTGGTTGTCTTGACGCGCTTCCAATGTACGTAATTGCCCCCCCCCCCAACCCCCCCCAACCCCCCCCAACCCCCCCCACCCCCCCACCCCTCAAAAAACCAAACCGGAAACCGCCAAACCAGGCCTTGGGGTGTTGAACACACTAAAAAGCGCGGGTTCCTTATGGAGACGCTTAGACCTAAGTAAACCCTATATCCTAAACTCTGAAACCCAGCTGGGGCACGTTCTTGAAGAGCTTCATGTTGTAGTCGAACTTGAGATTGTCTGGATCCGAGTGGTCGATGTCGAGGTACTTCACCTAAAGCCGCACGCTTTGGGGTTAAGGGTTTAGGGCTTAGGTGCTCATGGCCCATCAGCCCTAGACCCCAACCCCTTAAACCCGAAAGATCCATGAACCTTAAACCCTCAAGTCCCACAAACCCTGACCCAAACCCCGAAATCCCAAACTCAACTCCCTAAACTCCAAACCCTAAGCCCTAAACCCCTAAACCCTAACCCCCCCCGAATCCTGAACGCTAAACCCTAAACTTCCCTAAGCCCGGAACTCGCGTGCTACAGCGCGAACCCTAAGCTGCCGTCCAATTCATACAACAAAAGGTAGTCCTTGAAGTGGCCCTGGGATCTTGAGAGCTCCTTAAAAGGGATCAAAAGGGTTCCTAAGAGGGATCTATAGAGTTTAGGGTTTAGGGTCTAGATCATGGGGCCTTAGTAGAGTAAGGCTATCAATAAGGTAACGGTACTGACATCATCTATTTATAGCCCCAGATATCCTCCAAGCAACCCCTGAACCCTTAACCGCAAAGGAGGTCTAACTCATAGACAAAAATCCTAAACCCTGAACCCTAAACCCTAAGACCTAAACCCTGAACCCTAAATCCTAAACTTAACCCCTAGTAACCTACCTTTTTAGGGTTTCTTACTCCGATTCCTTATATAAGTCCTTAAAAAGGTAGGTTCTTCAGGGTTAAGGTAAGCTCCAAACCCCAAACTTTAAGGTCCCGGGGTCTGAGATTTTCCGGCCTGGTCCCAGACCTCTCGATCTGCGCCATCCGGATAAATGTCCTGGCAGCTTCCCCAAACCGGAAAAATGCCAAACCCCACTTAAATTTCAGAAATTTAGGCTGTAGGGCTTAAGGTTAGGGGTTACGGGTCTAGGGGTCTAGGGGTTTAGGGTTAAGGGATTTAGGGGTTAGGGTTTTTAGGTTTAGTGAGGTTTAGGGTATTTAGGGTTTCGGGAATTTAGGGTTTAGGGTCTCCGCAACCTAGCAGAATGGAAGGATCTCACACTTAAGCGCCCTTAGAACCATAATAAACACACATCTTTCATCAACCCCTGGCATTTTAAAGGTAAAACCTAGAAGAGAATTCCCTAAGAGTCCTAAAGTATAACAAGTGCCCCTACATCTGCGGGGCTTTGGGGCTACACATAAAGTCTACTAGGCTCAGGGCTCAAGCCGTGCTTGACGGCTTGGGATCCAGCTGCTACTACTAACACGATTGCGACTACCACTACCACGAAAACTACCAGCTGCCCCTATCACTACCACCAAACTGGCCACTACCGCTACCGTCGCCACGACGACAACCAGTAGTGCTGATAATCATCATCATCACCGTACTATTAATCATAATAGTTCTCTTGAAATCACTTACAACGGCGCGCATAGCTCATGGACGTCCCGCAGTTCTCCTTTCAGGTACGATTCTGAATCAACTGAATAGCAGGGTATACGCTGAAAGGGTAATACTGGGCGACGTAGTACAGATCACAGGTTGTGTAGCGGACACATGAGGAGTCCACGAAAGGGTGCTCGAAATCCAAGAAGCCTGACGAGCTAAATCCGAGAACCCTAAAACCATGAAGTCCATTTACCGAAGGAACTTACCCTAGACCCGAAACTTAAACCCCTAACCCCGAAACCCTAAAACCCTAAACCCCACAAACCGTGAACCCTAGGCCCCTTGTACCCTGAACACTCAACCCTGAAGCCCTGAGCCTGTTCAATGCTAAGGCCTGAATAGTTTACGCTATACTTCTAATAACACCCTCCCAACCAAAATCACATTTATTATACCTTTGCTAACAACTCGTCTCAATCCACCTGCAAAACCCTATAGACAACATATCAAAGCCTGTGCTGACTTTACAAACCAACTGAAACCGGATAGACCTGCCGAAAGAACCCGAAACCCTAAACCCCAACCTAAACCCTTAAACCCTAAACCCCGAAACCCTAAACCCCTGAATCCCTAAACCCCTAAACCCCTATACCCTAAACCCCTAAACGCCTAAATCCCTAACCCCTAAAACCCCTAAACCCCACTTCACCTTGATGGCGTTCAGCAGCTCCCCGAGGTGACGCTTCGTGGGCATGTGGACCAGGCCAGGGTGCCTCTTTCGGCTTAAAGGGAACTCCAGAAAGTTGGAATATGGTTTCAGGGTAGGATACCTTATCATTTACCATAAAGGGCTTAGGAGAATCATATTCCAACTTTCTGGCTTTTACTTTAGGTTTTTTGTTTTACAGGGGCCATTCGACCGCCTCTTTCGGTTTAGGGTTTAGGGTAAGGATCCTACAAATCCTTTCACATGGCCTGTTCTGTTTTCTGTCAAGGATATAGCGGGTCGGGAATTTTAGATTTGAGTTGTTGTTGCCTGAGGGGTCAAAATCACCTCGTGCGTAGCTTGTCGCCTGCACAGTTCTTTGCCGCGGTAGCCCCGGTCACAGCAACAAGACCGCAGGGTTTAATGTAGGGGCCTTGCAACTAGAACAGGGTTTTAGTACTATAACTATATCACATAATGAGGACCCCCCCCCCCCAAATAGTACAGGTAACTATTTAAGCCCCTATAGTAGTAATTGGGGGGCCTCGAGGTTGGCTTGAGGGGTCGTGGGTAGCTACTGGTGATACCAGTGGGGCTGGAGATTCCCATATGGTTTAAGGTTTAGGGTTTAGGATTTAGGGTTTAGGGCCATGAAGCTTAAGGCCCTATAAGCCCTAAACCTGAAACGGGGCCGAGCATCTCCATCCACTTGTAGTCCTGGGCTTTGAAGAGAAACCAGACAGAACAAATTATAAGCTCGTATTTCATATTGGTTCCTTTAAGGAGCGCAAAAACAGGTACGAACTAGCATGCATTTCATTTCATAATGGTTCCTTCAAGGAACAGCTCCAAACACGAGTATAAAGGCATGGCACTCCAGAGCGCCTGTAGACCCCTCGTAGGAAGCCCAAAGAGATCCCAGTGATAAAAGTAAACCCTAAATCCTAATCTAAGGGCCTTAATATTTCGAATAGGGTTTTGGGGCCCAGTATACTATAATGATAATAGGGAATCTTCAAGATAGTATAGGTAATTATTCAGCCCTCTCTATTAACTCCAAACCCTAAACCCTAAGCCCTAGCCACTAAATCCTAAACCCCTAAGCCCCGAATTCCCAAACCCTTAACCCTCAAACCCTAAGCCCTAAACCCAAACTCCTCACCCAAGAGTCTTCATCATCGTGAGGCATCGCGGGCAAAGGTCCGATCAGGGGCTGCTGCGCAGCGGCTGCTGCGGGAGTGTCCTTTCCCAGGACCATGGCCACCTAGGAGTTTCCGAAAATTAAGGGTACAAGTACCATTAAAGGGATCCTTTAAGGGCTCCTTAAAGGGATCTATAAGGGGTTCTATAAAGGGTTTAGGGTTTACAGGGTTTGGAGTTTCGAAAATTAGGGGTACCTTATTTTGGGGGCCTTGTACTAAGGATCCTACAATTTAGGGTCTCCTTTCCCAGAACCATGGCCACCTCGAAGAGAGCTTTTCGGGGGGGCTACCTTTTTAGGGTCGCTTTTTGTGGTTTCTATATTATAGCTCCTTAAATTTGGCAGGTCTCTTGGGCCACACACGGGCTAGGGTTAGGTTTTTAATATTGGGCTTGGAATTTTTGGGGTTTCGGCTTCCATCACAAACTAACATCAAAACTCTGGCGTTCGCTCTGTGCAGCCAAGGAGACAGCCAAGGCTCCACAAGCAAAGGCCAACGTCAATGCCTCGTCATGGAAGTTACACGGGGGTGGGGAACAAACATGAACCTTCCAGACATTTAGACCAAACGTAGTTACAAATGCTGAAGCCTAAACCACACCGATGAAGCCTAGAGTGACGTGACCTGTTGGCCTTTCAGTATAAAACACCTTGCCAGGACGAAAACTAACTTGTTTACACTTCTTACTCCGAGCCCGTATCCCGGAACTTGGCCGACCACTTAGAAGGGGCCCCCACCCTGTAATAGTGACCATAAGGATTATATAGGATTATATTAGGGCCCTATTATACTCCTATTATACCACTATTACAGGGAGGGGGCAGCTTCTAACGACCACTCATGAAACCACACAAATGCAAGCACGGCTCTCCAGATGCCATCAAAACTCGGCCTCAGCTGCGCATTGCGCCGTCCACGTCTAGGGTTTAGGAGTGTAGAGCAGTGTTGAATAGGGTGCCTTTAAAAGGTCCTTATAGAGGGTCTATAAGGGTTATAAGGGCTACTATAAGGGTTTAGAGAATAGGGTCTTGGGGCCCATTATACTACAATTATGCCGAGGAACCCCAAAATAGTCTAGGTAATTATCCTATATTAGAGGCGCGTTTAGGTCTTAGGTGTGACTTTGTCATCATGCAGCTATGCTTGTCTTTAAACGGCACGGTTTTATGGGGCTGAGGGTATCGCCCTCCAAACCTACACCCCTAAACCCTAAACCGACACCTCACCCCGGTCGGATGATAGTCAGCTCTTCCCCCGTACCTGAACCCTCAACATGGCCCGCAGCATTCTTGAAAGATATTAAAGGGGTGTTCCTGAATGGATGTATGCGAGAAGATCTGGGCAAGATGAGCGCCGAAGTGGTATTTGCAGGCACATCTTGTCAAAACCATGCACGTTGAGAGTAAAAATGTCTTCGTCGACGTGTCAATCTCAAGGATCAGCAAGTGGGCGCGAAAACCGCTTCTCCCGAGCTTCCCCGTTAACCCAACTCTGAACAGGGAGGCTTCAAGGCTGAACGGTTTCAGGTTGAAAGCTCCGCCAAGATCGGTCGCAGTCCGAAACTGTATACCCCCCTTAGAATCATGGCTTTCCTTATCCCATACCCCACCCTAACGCACCTCTCAATGCAAACCTTCCACTAAGAAAAGACCTCAACCAAGACAAAGATAGTCCTGAACCCTGAACCCGTAAAAAAACTCCCAAAACCGTTAAATGTACCCTAAACGCCCCAAACCCGTACAATACACCCCTAAACCCCCTAAAATCGGACACCGAGATGCGAGATGTAGAGGGGGCCTCAGGCTCCTTCGCGCCGTCATCCTGGGTTTAGGGTTTAGGTTTTTAGGGTTTAGGTTTTTAGGGTTTAGGGTTTTAGGGTTTTAGGGTTTAGGGTTTAGGGTTTAGGTTTTTAGGGTTTTAGGGTTTAGGGTTTAGGGTTTAGGGTTTAGGGTTTAGGTTTTTAGGGTTTAGGGTTTAAGGGTTTTAGGGTTTAGGGTTTAGGGTTTTAGGGTTTAGGGTTTTAGGGTTTTAGGGTTTAGGGTTTAGGTTTTTAGGGTTTAGGGTTTAAGGGTTTAGGGTTTAGCTCACACGCTCTTTTCTCCCGTATCCATCAAGGAACATACCTTAAACCATATGAGGGATCCTACTCTAATTTAAAGCATATTCCTTAATTAGAATATTGGAAGGTCCGGGATCAGGGATCGCAATATTAGGGTACCCAAAATGGTACCATAATTGTGACAACTACCCATTTGTAGAAGCAACCTCTAGAAAAGACTGCAATTGATTGAACTTTAGGACAGCGAAACCACAATCTGACTCCTACTCAGTAACACTGGATCCTCAATCCTATACCTTACCTGGATCCTGAAGAACCTACCTGTTTAGGGTTCCCTATCATGATTTCCTTATATAAATCCTTAAAAGGTGGGTTGTTTTCGGGGGGTCAAAGTACAGCTTGAAAGGCTCAGGAAGGGAACCTGAACCTATACTGAACTTAGAACCCTAGCAAAGATTATAGTTTTAGCTGTTTCTTAGGGATTACAATAAACAAAACTTAAAAATATTTCTAAGTACCCCCTAGGAACAATACCCTTCTCAGACCTTGTAAGACACGTTCTAACACCCTTCCTGCAGAGACCCTGAACCCGACACGCGCCGAAAACCCTCACCCTAAAACCATGAACCTGACAACAGTAAGTACTCGTGGTATAATAGGAATTTTAGAGGGCTCTAATATAATCCTTATGGTCACCCTAAATGCCCCGAAACATAACATCCTAAGATCCTGAAACCCTACAGTAAACCCCATAAAGTTGGAAACCGGATTAAGGACAAATAGTGCTGGGGTTCCCAATGCATTACTCTTACTGATTGAGGCTATTGGGTTTGAAACTTTTAGGCGTCTACTGCAAAGCCAAAGACCCTGACAACCCTCAACCCCAAACCCATAACATCCTAAGATCCTGAAGCCTGACACCCTAAACCCTAAGACCCTGACAACCCTCAACCGTAAACGCCCCAAACACCCAAAGCTCTGAAAACCTAAATGCCCTCACACATGACATCCTAAGATCCTGAAACCCTAAACCCTAAGACCCTAAATTACCTTAGACCCTAAACCACCCTTGTCCTTTTCGAAATAATAGACAGAGCCCTATATCTGTATCCCTTAGTAGGAGTTATTTAAGAAGGTCTACTAGCCGGTCTGTTTATTCTTTTGGGGGAACCATGAAACAGGACAAGGATGCCCTAAACGCCCGAAACCCCTCCGCTGGCGCCGACCCCCCCACCCGGCCTCGACCTCCGCACCGTTGAGCAGCATGCTGGCAGACTCTGGATCCTTGTGTTGAGAGTTTAGGGTTTAGGGTTTTAGGGTTTTAGGGTTTAGGACTTATAGGGCTCAGGGTTTTAGGATTTAGGGTTTTAGGGTTTTAAGGTTTAGGGTTTTGGGCTTAGGGTTTAGGGTGAGGATTAATGTTTAGGGGTTTAGGGGTTCAGGGATTTAGGGTTTAGAGATTCTTGGGTCTAGGGCTTTAGGGGATCCTTGGGTTGAGGGTGGGGATTATTGTCTAGGATACCCAGTAACCTAAGAAGAAAAAGGCATCTCTTTTTGGTATTGGGTAACTTTATAAGGAATCTAGGACTACAAAAGGGGAAAAAGGGTACTACTGGGCATCCTAGTTGTTTAGGAGTTTAGGGGTTTTTAGGGATCCTTGGGTCTAGGGTTTTAGTGGATTAGGGTTTAGGGGCTTTGGGGTTAGTGGCTTAGAGGTTTAGGGTTCAGGGTTGCGGGTTTAGGGGTTAGGGGTGTAGGGTTTAGAGTTTAGTTAGGGCTTATAGAGTTTAAAGATGAAGGTCTTAATGATGAAAAAGGGTTCCTTTGAGGGCTCTATCTACAAAGGTTTCTATAAAGCGTTGTACAACGAAGCCTCTGGATCCTGTGCGAAAGTCAATATGAGGCTTTATAAGAGGTTCAATCGTTCGAGTTTCTGATGGCTTCTGCATTACGGGTCTTTCATTCCGGGAATGAGGATTTCCCGAGCATGCTCAAGAACCTAACAAACTAAGCCAAAAACTCTGGCTACTGTAAAGATGCAGGCAAAAGCTCTCACTCACGGCTTGGGGTTTACCTAAGATTATCGGGATTAAGGTTTAGAGTTGCTCTTTCTTTTGTGATTCCTGTTAGCACTCCCCAAGCCACATACATTCACCCCAGAACCATTGATGTTGCTGATACTGTTCTTGGGAACTCGGTGGCGCGGAAGCAGAAACAAAAACGTGTGTTGATCACACCGGGACTCCTTGGTAGCCATCTTTGCCAGAGTGCCGTATGCAAGGGATTGTGTCAGCGGGCTTCCGGTTGGACCAAAACGGCTTGTTACATCGCAGAAGCAGCTGCTACTGGGTAGGCTGTAGCTCAAGGCTCCCGGTTGCAGTGTTCTCAGACATCATAATTTTTGGCCGCAATAGCAAACCACGACGGGCCACGACTATACCTGACGGCAGCAGTAGTAATGACTTTTTCTTCGTCCGAGCTGAAGACCAGGTGCAAGTTCGGAATCCCAGACACTTGTAGTTATGACGAGGGTAATTAATCGTAACAAGAGTCGTGGCAATATGGCGAGCAGCGGACATTACGTCAAGAAAATCAGACGGATGAAAGGCAAGTAAGCAGCACGCACCATTATCTCAATGCTGACAGTCGCCAGTGTACCGTTCGTCATGATCTACACGTAAGTGTTATCATCTGCAACTCAACTTCACCGTCAACCTTATCATCGCCAACACACTGAACAGCATCAGCATTGTCATCGCAGCAACAGCTGCACGATCCCAGTCATCGTCATCATGCTCTTATATAGTTTGTTGCCATCAGCATCGTCTATTGTGAGACAACAGACAGCTGTTGTATGCCAGACTACAGACACACCTGCTGCCACCCACCCACCCACCCACCCCCACACCCCCACACCCCCACACCCCCACACCCCCACACCCCCACACCCCCACACGCCCACACGCCCACACGCCCACACACAAACACACAAACACACAAACACACAGACAGACACACACACAGACAGACACACACACAGACAGACACACACACAGACAGACACACACACAGACAGACACACACAGACAGACACACACAGACAGACACACACAGACAGACACACACAGACAGACACACAGACAGACAGACACACACACACACAGACACACACAGACACACACACAGACAGACAGACACACACACACACACACACAGACACACAGACACACAGACACACAGACAGACAGACAGACAGACAGACAGACAGACAGACAGACAGACAGACAGACAGACAGACAGACAGACAGACAGACACACAGACAGACAGACAGACAGACAGACAGACAGACACAGACAGACAGACAGACAGACAGACAGACAGACAGACAGACACAGACAGACAGACAGACAGACAGACAGACAGACAGACAGACAGACAGACAGACAGACAGACAGACAGACAGACAGACAGACAGACAGACAGACAGACAGACAGACAGACAGACAGACAGACAGACAGACAGACAGACAGACAGACAGACAGACAGACAGACAGACAGACAGACAGACAGACAGACAGACAGACACAGACAGACAGACAGACAGACAGACAGACAGACAGACAGACAGACAGACAGACAGACAGACAGACAGACAGACAGACAGACAGACAGACAGACAGACAGACAGACAGACAGACAGACAGACAGACAGACAGACAGACAGACAGACAGACAGACAGACAGACAGACAGACAGACAGACAGACAGACAGACAGACAGACAGACAGACAGACAGACAGACAGACAGACAGACAGACAG